GTATCGGTGACGCGCGAACACCGGACCAGCTCCCTGTAATTTTGACGAAGCACTGGTCATTCCAAAATAACTCCCTCGCTCGAAATAATACTGTTCGGTATTTGAAATAAAAGCACGCCACGGAAAGAAAGAGAAAGCGAGAGCGACCGAGAGAGAGGGAGGGAGAGAGAAAGAGAGAAGATGCGAAAGTAGCTAGCAATGAACGCGGCAAAGATGTTAATCTCAATTTACTGACACCAACAGGGACCGGTGGATAAATTATTGCCAGAATTAAAGTCCGTGAAAATTCATAGCTACGTTGCAACTTAGCCGACGTTGCTTCTCTGCCTGCCAGACGCAACGTGTGTAAAGTACCCGTGCAGGCACGTTATAATAATCTTCACAATGTGGCACAATGAGTGAAATCAATCTAATCGCGGAGTTTACTTCCCCGAGAATTTCGTACGGCGTTGATAAAGATCAGAGAAAATCAACGTCCGTACCCGCGTACGTATTACGCTTATACAGGGTGGGTCACCACATATTGCCATCTAGATTTACGTCATTATTATAACGCGTAGCGAAAAATGTTTCAGATGAAGTTGAATGGTTTCGAGAGGGGCTGATAATAGGGGATAATATTAATTTTGATAATACTAGTTTTCTTGTAGATGGATGTGTAAAGGACATATGAAGATCATTAACGTTTTTTTTAAATGGAATCATATATTTTTTGATACACCTTGATATTCTTTACGAAAAATTATTCATCTATTTATGTTAAAAAAAATCATTAGTTTAGGAGATATTTTAATTTTAATGTTGTTAGGAAATAAAGTGTACACTGAACCTCTGACTACAATGGCCAATATGAGGGATCGTATCATCACCGAGTGTAATAAAATACATCGCACAATGCGAATAAATTATTAATCCATCGATTGAGGAAATGTCGTGATGTAAATGGTCGTCCGCATTGAACCTTTTCTGTAAATAAAATCATTACAACGTTCACAAAGGGGTCATGATTTCCTAGCAACATTAAAATTAAAATATCTCCTAAACTAATCATTTTTTAACATAAATAGATTAATACACTTTCGTAAAGAATATCAAGTGCATCAACAGGATGCAATAAAAAAAAATGTTAAATGATTCAATTTAAAAAAACGTTAACGATCTTTATATGCCCTCTACACGTCCACCTACAAGAAAACTAGTATCATCAAAATATGGCCCTCTAGAAATCATTCAACTTCATCTGAAACATTGTTCGCTACGCGTTATAATAATGACATAAATCTATATGGCAAACATGTGGTGTATCCACGTACGTACAACACTATGTCGTATTATTTTAGCGCTACGGACAAATTTGAAAAATTGAAATTCGAAAATCGTCGTGAGCTGTACCGTTGCGAATCTGCACGACGTTCTAATTCAGAAAGTCAGCAATCACAGAAGCTGCACTACACAGCTGACAGCTAGATATACTCGGAATTGTCGCGAATGTGTAAGTCCCGCGAAGCGCACGTCCGCGAATTTGTATTCGATACGCGTGCACGCACCGCGAGCCGCGTGATTGATGGTGTCGTTCTTTTCAGCGACGGCGAAAACCTGGCACCGGCTTATTCCGTACGTGCGTTCGAAATTTGTCACCTGCAGACGCGCCGCCGCGAGCTCGAAAAAGTTACGTCTGCATTCAAGAGCGTGGAAACGCATATTACGCGGCTGATTCATTTCGTTGGCCGGCCCGGCACCGTCGCGCGTGTAACTGGCTTAACGCGCGCGCGGCTCCGCCAAATTCCGAGCGTTTAGCTAGATTCCGGGATGAAACGCGACGACGTGTCGGCTTATTTCGTTCTAATTACGCCGGAAATATGTGAGCACAACGAGAAATTCCAAGTTTTGCTCCCCCTGAACCAACGCACGTGCGTCCAAAAGTGTGCAACAGCCTTAACCTTCTAAATACTAACGTCCGATATATTGACACCTATGTAACATCTGAGAAAGCCGAGTATCCGATGTATCGACGGTCTCTTTCTTCTTGTTTCGAGTAGCTTGAGTCTTTATTTGATTTGATTAACTTTGAAAATATAGGAACTACAATTAATTTATATGAAAACATGTAAAACTAAACTTCGCCTGGCGATTTAAATCCGTCCACTAGCGAAGGGAGATTTAAATACCCCGTCCTTAGAAGGTTAAAAGACGAACAACACACGTTTTGATAAATGTTCCTCGATGTTAGCGCGAAATCTGCAACCGCTACGCGTTTTCTCTCGTACAAGAGACCATCGAATCGTGCAACAAAATGAAGGAAACGAGGGATAAATTCGTGAAACCGCGAATAAATTCGAGTGTTTAAAGGGGTAATTTACGTCGAGTTTTGACAAACACGGCGTTTATCAGCACCGCAACAGGCGCGTCTCGTTGCCAAAGGTTCCCAAATTATCGAAAACGATTTGCATATCGCGCACGAACCAAGTGCAAGGAGGAATCCAACAGCTCGACGCTAGCCGCGCCTTGCGAAAATATCGATAGAGTTATCGGCGAGACGCCATGATAATCCAAACGCTATATATTATAGACGCTCAGTCTTTGAAACCTTTCTCGGTACTGTTGCTTTTCCATATTGCTGACTGACGTCGGTCGAAGTTCGAACGAAGCTGCCGGCAGGTTTTAATAAACGATCCTAAACGTTTTTACTTTCCTCGAGAATCTTATACGTAGCTTATTATCTAACGTCCAGGTTACGAAAAATGAAATCCTCTCTCCAACTTTTCTTCGTTCGGATCTGCATTCAAGCGGGATTACGAAAAGCGAGGAGCAACGTGAAAAAAAAAAAAAGAATTGACGAGCAGCAACGGCCAGGATAAGAAATTTTGTTCTTTCCCTCCGAGCCGAAGTTTTTAATTAAATTAAATCGCGAGGCCGAAAGCTCGCATATCGAGGAGGGAAATCTCCGACTTGAGATCTGCGGACGAGTGGTCTCTCGAGTGTCGTCGTGCTTCCGCGTTACGTGTCATTAAATCACACCGTTGTGAATTATGGCCGAGGGCGATTCGAGACGAAGAGAAAGTTATCCTGCGTGACCGGCCTGCAATTACAGTGATGAGCAAAGCTGAACACGCACGTGGAATTTTAACGTAAATAACATCTCATCGAGTATTTCTGCATGTGTGAAATATGACAGAAGCAAAATATGTAACGTTTCGCAGAACGTTTTGGCTTTCTCGAAAAATATTTTATCACCCTGTTATCACAAACAGTATTCTATAAACGAATTCGAGGAGTCACTTTTGCACCATTATCGGCACTTTAGATTGTTACAACTTTGCAAACAATCATACGACAATCTATTTGGTCTCATTATAAAGGGTAAAACTACTAACCTGAATTCGTCTTTTCCCCCCAAGACGTTCTAATATCGTGTAACAAAAAAAAAAAAGAACGCGAAAAAATTTTATTTACGACTAAGTTCACCCGTGATCTTAAAAATTAAAGTCTCCCCTCTACGACGACCTCTTAAAACAATTCTTTTTCGAACGTTGAACATTAGAGTTTAACGACAAAAATTCAGGGAATCCTAACATTTCGTCGTTTAACCGTGTTGTTCAAAGTTGAATAAAATGACGAAAAACAAATCGTGCAGCAAGGTTTAACGTCAAATCAACATTAATTCGTGGCTAGACGAATCGAAATGTAGCGAGATGAATGTTGCGAGAGGCAACGTCTCGGGCTAAATTAAAATTGAGTCGCGTTACAGGATAGGCAAGCGAAACAAAGGAAAGGGCAGTGCAGGGAGGTGAAAGTCGAGAAAGAAACGAAAACGACGGGGCCGCGAGATGACGCGGCGAGTAAAAGCTCTCGATTCGGTCTGGAAGGTTCTTTAATTAGTGCGTCCATCGTGTAGATAACGGCAAACCCGAAAAACGAAGGAAAAAGAAAATAAGCATTGTGACCGGAGAGCTATGCGAAGGCTCGTAAATGGACGGGAGTGCGAACAATGCCAGATCGCGCAGGCATCGACTGTTCGTGAGACAGAAACAGCGACAGGGCTCATCTATTATTGGCGCAAAACAGAAATAAAATGCAGTGCGACGGCCTGCGAAACGTATGGTGCTCACGTTGTGCCAGCAACTTTTGTCCTGCCTCTCGGTTTTCAATGGTTTTCCATTTTTTTCTTCTTTCTTCTTCTTTTTCTTTTTTTCTTTTTTTTTTTTCTCCGACAAACAATAACCCTTTCCTCCCCGCATCGCGTTGTTTTTGGCTTTTTCCGCTTTTCGATCTTCGCTCTTGTCTCTTTTCCCACGCGCGTCATCGATTACGCAATTTGTCGAGTGCGTCCGCGATTGTCCGGCGTAGATCGTGTCAAGAGTCGTCGAAACAAGTCGTCTTGCTCGTTCTTTTGATCGTGCGTCACGCCAAACGCGCACGTTCGCGCGTTTACAAATATTTGCGCCAAACCAAAATGCAATTTGGTGAATCACAGCGCAGAAAATACAATATGCCCGAGAGTTCAAAAGCATCGCGCGCGTTTCATCACCGCGTTTGATTAACATGGATCCATGCGTATCCGCTGCAAGTACCGGTGTAAAAATCGTTGTGTTACGGCCGAGAGGTTGGTTGTAATAAAATGGACCAGATGTGGGAGTTTACTCGATCGGAAAAAATTTCAACAACATCGATCCCAATGTAGAAAAAGCATTGGGAGATCTCTATCGGAACCATGTTAACGTCTATTGAGAGCGACGGTGTTCGGTGTATCTGTGAAACAGCCTTTCTTTTTTCCTTTTCTCTTTTTTTATGCAATGCACACGTCTGATATATCGGTTTTCGAATAACTCTTGTATAATCCAAGATGCATCAACGATACACGTTTCACTTCGAGCAATATAATACGCTTCGATACATATAATGTTATTTCTGCTGTATCTCGATTATATCCTTTCTCATCGGGTAACGAAATGCGCGAAATTTTACAAATTTTTCTCAAATGAAAAGAAAGAAACACTTACCACAGTGATGGGGTAGACCGGGTTGATAATTGTGAAGAGGAGAACGTGGTTCGGCTTGTTATTGTCTTCTCTGGAAAATACGAAAAGAAAGAGAACGTGCGATCAGAATCTTCGTTCCACGTGTTTTATTAATCGTTAAACATGCACGCGGCAATTTTTCTTCGCGATAAACCCGCTGAGTAATGGTAACAATTTAATCGTTGGAAACGCTAACTTGATATATCTCGGCGTTGTATCACGCCACGCGAGCCCCCGTTGGCCGTGCCACGGCAGCGGCGAAAAATTCTGCATTTTTCCCGGGGCTTAGGAAGAACCTAGGGTGTGTGAGAGAGAGAGGCACGACACGTTGAATTGCAGTCAAATTACATCAGCCGGCGCACAGTTGGCGAAATTTTTTTATTAAATCAGAGAGAGAGAGAGAGAGAGAGAGAGAGAGCTCGCGCCCCCGGGAGTCGTAGGGTCCACCAGGCACCAGGATATTCGATTATCCGGAAAGAGAAACGAAGGAAAAATCGCCATCTCGTAATTTCCTTCCGAGATTCAGCGCGATACAACGAAACAGAAGCGGCTATTGACGAAGAGCTATACATTTTTCATGCCCAACGTCCAATGTATTCCCCCTTCGGTCTTCCTCTCCTCTCTTTCCCTCTCACCCCCGCCGCTCTTCGCAACCAATTGGAAATTTTACTGCCCATTTTTCCGCGAGAAGAAAAAGAAGGAAAAGAGAGATAGAGAAAGAGAGAGAGAGAGAGAGGACCCCTGGTGCTCTCGTTCTGCAATTCAAAGTGGCCAATTCTCTGGCGAATCTGTTGCTTCTACTCTAAATGATTAAACTTTGTGCCTCGAAAACCTCCGGCTCGAACGCAAATGAAGAAAAGAAAAGAGGCGAGTGAAAAAAGAAAAAAAAAAGAAAAGTTGCTCGTTCCGTCGGATAGATTCGTTCTCTTGGTCCTCGTTTCTTTCTCCGCTCCGTAACTAAAACAATTCTTGCCCTAACGCTTCCACGAGCACGGAGATCAACCGCGAAGAGCTCTTGTTCCCGCGAAAATCCGCGAATCTTCTTTCTGAACGTCGAAACGTTTAAACGTAGACAAGATAACAACGTTTGATTGCGAGCGAGTCACGACGCACAACGAACTAATTAATAAGGCGAGCCGTTGGTCCATTTGTAACGTTTGCCCGCGAGACATGCAGATTTAGTCAGTCAAAGACTCGAAGGAGGAACGAATTAAAACATTAAGGACGGACACCGAAACTTCAGACTGATCCGGCGTGCCCCGACTCGGGCCAAGTCTAATAATAAGAAGTTCACTCGAGCGTTAAGCTCTGATTCAGAGCGGCAGGAATTCGATATCAAGCGATATTCTCCTCTCACGTTAATTTTCATTCGCCAACGAGATGCACCAACGGAGTAACTCAATGAAGAGGCACGCTCGCAACGTTTCGCGACGGTGCAACGCGACTCGGTGAATCACAAGCTGATTTCGAAACAATGATTTCTATTTTCGCTTTGTAGATAGACATTCCCGCTCCTATAGATAAGCTAATCAACTCGTTTCTGCATTATACGACGTTAACACTAACGATACCGCCACTTTGTAATACCTAATCACGCAGATCAACTTCTTTCTGCTGGTTGAAATAAAAATTCTTGTCTTGATATATTTTAGTTATCTAGTTATTTCCTTGTAGAATTCACGCGTCGATACTGATCAAATCAAGACTGTCGAAGAAAACTTGAAAGTGCCTATATCTATGAGATTTTTATTTTACGCTGTACTTTCTCGCCACTTAACGACGTGTAATTTAGTATTACATGCATTTATAATTCACATATTAATTGAGTTCAGAAACTAAGCAAAGAACATTATGAAAAGATGTAAATTTGTTAACCTGAACATTATATAAAGATGTAAACGACCGGTCACGATAAACGAGTCGGACGATAAATTTTTCTCAATAAAAAAAAGAAAACTGATTAATCAGACTGACATAAGAATTTTCACAAAGTAAATGAACAAAAAAAGTAATAACGGACGTACGATTATAAATTAAATTTCGACCGGGCGTGGTTCGGTTAGTGTTAATGCATTTCACACGTGATAATAGAATGAACGCTAGTTTTATCATGAGCGAGGCGTCATTGTCGAACGAAACGAATTGCTAGACGAGCTAACGGGTCAACGCAACGCTACATTATAAGAACAATTGTCGAATGAGGACGAAGAGAACGGGTGTGTACATACACGCTTGCTGTAATTAATATAATGTTCGAAACGATTATACTCTCGTCTGCGCGCCGAGATCCCAATTCCCTGATTACTTTAACATTCACGACATTGCGAGGCAGGTAATTAATATCAATTGCGTGCAACATACCTTTTACGTCGCGGTTCGTCTCCGTATCCGCCATACTCGTGATTCTGAAACAAATGTAAATCACATGTTTTAATAAAATACCGGCACTATACTCATTCACGACAGTGTTGAAAGATGCCAGACCATCTATAATATAAATGGAAATGTTTGGCTTTTAGGAACGAATAAATTCCGTATATATCATTGAAAATTCTACACGTGCACTCTTTCTGACACTGTTTCCATAAATCAGGTAGAAAAACCGCGAAAACAACTATCGTCGTAAAAGAAATACCATAAAGTTAGTTCCCATGTATGGAAACCATCTATGCTGTCTAAAAGCAGTACTCAGTTGCCGTTGCAAAACAGATAACATAGATGGTCCGAGAGATATTCGAAACTTTGAAATCTCTACACGCCCCCGCGTGAGAGTCAAGGATCTTCGAAAAGTTAGTCTTAGAAATCTGTTCGAGGAACTCTTTCGTCGGAAATTTCTCTGCCATCAACAATCGTACTGTATTAATTTCGAATTTAACTGCGAGCGCGAGTGCGATTTAAGGGGAAATGATTTCAAATTTTTGCCCAGCAACGTTCGTAGCTGTTCAGAATAACAAATGTTATACGTAAGAGGATGAACACGGGAGGATGGAGAAGCTCAGAGAGAAAACTCTTTGGCTGGGTTAGGTTTGCATGCAAACAGGATTCTTCGAAAATCTGCGATTCAATCACAGATTGTACACGGGTGCGGTTCTCGGCTCGCAAACAACCCCCCACCCCCCCTTGATTCGCCTTGCGCATATCGTTCCTCTCTGTATTGGTCGGATCGGTTGCATAAGAGAAATTCACGCTGCGGTTTTGGCTGAATTTCGATGGTACGCGATGTCACGCGGGGATGTGCGTAACTCCGGGACGGTCTATTAATACGCATTCGCGCGTCTTTTTACAACTAGCGCCGAAAGCGACGGAAATAGTGCGGCAAGAGACTTGAAGGTGCCGGTGGTAGGTGTTGCGTGTCCAGGCTTCACCCTTAAAGCGTACACGGGACACGCTTCGATCGATTATCTGAGAATAACGTGACGGCCGCTTTGAACTTAAAAGCGAAACTTAGGACACGCGCGGGACACAGTGGATCGACAATTGTAAATAAATGGCGTATGAACGCGTTACAGATGTCACAATGGACTTACTGCTCAAACTTGTGCGAGTGCGAGCAAGATAAAAGGTGTACATCACATTTTGCGAGATGAAAATCTGAAACGTAGTATAGAATCTGAAACGTAGCACTATACGTTCCATCGTGAGTACGGGGATGCTAGACGACTTGTTTAATGTTGAATTAATGCAAAACGGGATGAAGTTGAGTACGATAGATCGTAGCGCTCGAAAGGAAGCGAACGGAATATTATAATTTCCAGACTGTGCACATTTCTTTTTCGCGTTAAACTGTATCGTCAACCGGTTGCTCCGATAACAGCGAAAAGTAGTTTCGTATTTATAATTTACGACCTAAACTGACGCATACTCTAGGATGAAAGCGCTGGTTTTCCTCGCGAAGGAAGAAAATTTTACGAGCTTGCTTCTTGCGTCACTGCATAGAAAATGATCTGCACAGCGTCGTGAATCGAGAAATACGGGGGGAAGGGGGGGATCGACGTGGAAAAACTTAAAAAAGAAGAAGAGGTGAAAAGAATAGTATGATTGAGCGACTGCACAAAGTCCCTACTGTAAATTAACATTCATCATTCGTCGTTGGAACGGTCCCAATTAACTGTTCTTTTGCGCGAAAATACGGTCGATAAGTGTCGTTTAAATTACATCGCATCGTTGTTCCGCCCATCTCTATTTTTAAAACGTCACAAACAGAGACAGCTGATTGAATTGCATCGCGACTTTTGCGCCAATTTTTTATGGCGGACACCGGTGACGACTCGACGACGGTGAGAGAATGAATCACTTCGCATTTCTCATCGGAACAAGAAAAAAAAAAAAGAAAAAAAAAACAGTGGAGACTCCCGATGATTTCCAACTTCCACTCGGTATTTGGGTAATCGGCGCAGACTGCGCCAAGTATTCGGAAAGGTGAGACATTAAGAGAATAATCTCCTCCCTAATAGGATTAACGCTCCGGCTCGCTCGAGTGAACTTTAAGCGCATTTCGTGGATTATTCAGAAAAGAATACACCGAATTCGGCGAATTAAACGTTATATGCACTCGGCGGAGATACCGAATCGATTTATTGCCCCCTCGTCTTCACCACCGTGAAACGATCGATCGATCCACCGTCCGATAACATTGTTTAAATGCGTCGGTCTGTCTGCTGCCGCGTGCAACCTCCAAACGCGTCGGACAAAGAACCGAACGAAGCAGACCGAACCGATTTCGTGAAATGTTTCTAAATATCCTCGAAAAAAAAAAAAAAAAAAAAAAAAAGAACACGAAGAATACAGAGAATGTAGGAAGAGTTGGCGGCGCGGGCAGGTGGCCAAGCAAAATCTCGTTGAGAATGGGGAAAAAAGAGGGAAGGAGGGAGGAGAAGAGTGGAAGAGGAAGCTAACGGGGAATCGGTGGGAACGAGATCCAAGATTTCTGACGGCATGTCGCATCGTCGTAAAGGCTGCACACAGTATCGTTACGAAGCGCGGCGAGTCCAACGTAGGATCCGTAATACGTTGTTATAAACATAACTCAGCGTTGGCCACTGGCCAAGCACGTGGTTTCACGCTCAATGGATCACACCCGATCGCCACGGAAAAAAAAAAAATACGTAAAATACCGTTTTCTAATAAATTTTCCCGTAAATTTTCGCTAAACAACCGTGACGATGGGATTTGGTTTTCAAAACCGCGGGATACGATACGACCTTGCTCATTTTGTTTTACGATTGAAGAGAGTAATTCCAGTCGGAATTTTATATTTTATAAATATATTTATATAAATTAGATAATATAAAGTATAAATGTGGTATATGTAAAAATTCGTGCACGCCATATTATGACCAGAATCATAATAATTTCAATACAAAATCAAAGATTCATTCGTATTATTCGATCACACGAAACACACGAAAATATTTATCCACACAGAGGCTCTACGGCCTTCGTGTTGCATCGAGATAGGCAAGTATCTACGTCCGATTCGCCGAGCAGGCGGAAACGTTAAAGTAGTAAGCGAGTAAAATCAAAACAAGGCGAGGGTGTCGTAGATCGTGGCGGGAGTCAAGGAGAAAGTCGATTGGCCGGCTGCCAGCCACGTGCTGATAAAGAGATTAACCGCAAGAACAATGCTTATGCTCCCGTTAATGACTTCGTTTCTCTGCATCGAACCAACTTTCTCGCAGAATATACCGTATACCATACGTCAAACGAGAAATAACCGACGAAGCAACGAGAGCCGGTTATACCGCGTCCATTCGTTTCCAAGCTACGCCTTGGTTTTCTTATCGTTCATTAGTCTCGGCCACGCCAAGGTTGCACTTTACGAAAACCACTAATTTTCCAGAGCTCTCTGTTCTCTAGCTATACGGTTTCCCAGCAAATAACATTTTCAAGCACCTCGATATTTCCGTTCGATCTTTTTTTTCTTTTTTCTTCTTTTTTTTTTTTTTTATCACTTCGACGTAGAGCAGATATCGGTTGATGAAATTAAGGTGAGAGGTACAGAGAGAGAAAGCTTCGCCGTATCAGGCCTTGCTAAAGATGCCAGCGTGCAGGCGCAAGACCATGCGTAATTCATAGCGGACAAGATAATTGGGCCACCGCGATTCCGTTTCTACACACAGGCTAGAGGGAAAGGGTTCTCGTACACGTGTACGCGTGCACACAGCCACGACCTGTGAGAATCGCTTTAACGCTTAACCCCGTTGCCTATGAATTTTCCAGCGAATTGCATACACAAGTTAAGATCTTGTTTACACGATCTATTTAGTTGCGTTAGAGTTCCCGTAAGCCTGGCGCGCACGTGGGTCGTCTTTTGCATGCGGAGAGGAGAACTTGGCCCGCCGAGGCATAATAAGCGTCAATAGCAGAAATTAAGACGAATTTAAACTTTGTACTTTGGATGAAACGCTACGAATGATTCACACACGACGAAACCTACAGACACACTGATTCTTCTCAAACGCACTTCGTTCAAGCTTGAGGTTATGATCACGATTTTACTATCTCAATCGCCAGCGTTTTGAAAACTAGCGAAATAAATTCAACGGTTGACTTCATCTTTCGCGAATATTGTGATACAAAGACACGTAAATTCGTAGCTCGTCCGTAGCCTGATTGATAAAATTCATTTACCACACTGGTTCGATCGCAGTTGGAGTAATTGACTTTGCGAGACGCCAATCGGTAAAAAAAAAAAAAAACGGAAGAAGAAATTAGGAACGAACGAATGGGAGAAGAAAACGCACCCCGCTGCAACGGGGTATGAATGGATATTAAAGTGCTCGAGAAGGACGAAGAGGGGGGGATCGAATTTTTTTGTCCGGGAGAAATTATAATATCGGTCGGGACACGGTACTCCGGGATCTCGAAAAATTATTCGCTGCACGTATCCGGGCATTAATATCCCTCCCCCCTTCTCGTTCAACGGTACATAGTTGTCCGAGAAGAGAAAAATTCAACGGCTCGTTCGATACTTTCTAATATCTTCCAGCGATTAGACTGCAAATGTGGAACTATGCAGATGATTGGCACAAGTTTTTTCTGCGACCTTCTTTCGCGTAAAACTCGACGACGAAGCTTGGAAAGGTAACTATACGTGTCGTAATACATAATCTAGTACCTATAGACTACAATCTGACTGCTGAAAAGACTCGTATGTACAAAGGCTTGTTCGTAGAATCACAAAGTTTTAACAGTCTCGTGCAGTGAAATATTATGATGTGGAAAACCTGTATTGTCATAGTAGTATAGATTGATACTACTGCCATTGTTATTTTGTGAAAAAAAAAAAAAATCGTTCCACGCAGAATTCGTGGAAGCATGGAAATTATAGTCGCAGCCGTGGTCGAACAGTTTCGGAGAACGAAATACCGCAACGACGTGAAATTGACATGCCCTGTCATGGGAA